ACACACACACACACACACACACACACACACACACACACACACACACACACAGTGCAGAGACATACATGCACTGGTAACCTGAAATATGTGCAGTGACAGGAAATAACCTCGATAATGGAAACTACTTCTCCTCAGCTGAAGGTGATGCAGATGAAGATGGCTTCGGTCTCCAGCCTCACCGTGTTTCTGCTCTGCTGCTGCGCCGTCACCTCCCAAGGTACCGAACACAAAATATTATTCACTGTCAGGTCCATCACCAGTACGTTTTATGATGGCAGAGGGGTTAAAATATTACAGATTAGTGCTTTTTTTTTTTGTATTTTAAAAGAATTTTGGTTTTTGTTCTGTTTTGTGTGTTTTACCATTTCAGACCCAACATAAGATGTTGGTTTAGAGTTCTGTAAACTAATTAATTTAAAATATATAACTCTTTGGAAATAAACTACTTTGTTTTTTTCAAAAAATCAATTCAACCTCACAAAATATTTGACAAATTTTAATGTTAGAGGAAAAAAATAGAGATTGAAACAAAAATTAGTATACCAGTAATGTCAAATCAGTTTTCATTTTTACACAATAAAAGGAACTAAAACGAAGTTTTTGCGACTTTACTGAAATGTTGGAGGCTTAGTTACTAAATAGGCAAAAACATTCAGATTAATTTGGTTTATTTATTTTTTATTGCACTTGCTCTAACATTCTCTGACCAAACAAATGATTAAGTGAAACAGCAGATAAAAAGGTTCTTGTTGCAGTGGTGGTGGTGTTTGGGTTGAGAAGTTTGCACAGGACAAACAGGAAGCGATGGTGACCCGCACACACAGCAGTGAGCCGACACGCAGCGAGAACCTTCCACCAAAGGAAACAGGAAGAAATTCAAAAGGACTACAGATAAAATCTAATTTACATAAAAGTTAAAAAGTAAAAATATTTTTAAATAAATCACATTTTCTTTTCAGCTGCTGTATGAAGTAGCTTAAAACTTATCAAACAATTCTATAAAGATTATTCAAAAATATGTTTAAAATAAAGTGCAACATTTCAACAACCATACTGCCAGCCCAGTTCTGAAAGCCAAAAGTAGATTATTTTTTCTTTTTTTAAGTATAAATTTTAACCCTAAGCCCAGGTTTATTTTATTTAGATCAAATTAAAATACATCAGAACTATAACTTACTAATCATCTGTTTAAAAAATGGTTTATGTTTTATGATGAAATTCATCATGAAGTCTTGTTAAAAAATTTAAATATTTCTTTATTTTATTTACAAACGTTTAGTTAACATATTTCTGAGGCTTCAAGTTTGTCATGAAGGTCGACTCAGTTCTTCTGGAACTTTCTATTTGGGTTCAGAAAATGACTTTACTGGACAAAGAAGTGCACAGCCTTGTCAACTAAAGCTACATTCAGGTCCTGAAAGGCAAGAGGTGAAGCAGACACAATGGTGTGACTTTTAAATGTGCATTTTTAAACAAGATGTGATTTGAGTTTTAAAGTAAAAAACTTAGCATTCCTTGAAGGAACACATATCAGCTGTCACCTTTAATTTCAGTGCTCTAGGCTAAGGCTGTGTAGTTTTGAGAAACGATGATGTTCTTCACAATCCCAACTTTGCAATGTTTCGCTGTAAGCACTGGGAGCATGTACTGGTTCACTCTCAGCTACTGCCACCTCAAATTTTAGCTGCAGTAAAATGCCCCACTTAAATTGTATTGCCTC